GGCCTCCGCGGGGAAGGAAGGCCCTTGCTGAGTCACTCTGCGCGCCTGGCCCCGTCTGCACCTCCGTGTGCCGGCAGGAGGGGGTCTCCGAGCCCAGGGTGGTGCCATCCCCGGGGAGCTGGGGGAGGATACATCCTGGCAGGAGTGAGGGGTTTTCCCAGGAAAGCCCTCATTCCGGGAGCTGGGAGGTGGCGGGGAGAGGTACCCACGCCTCACGACAGGGCTGCCCGTCGTCAGGGTGCCGTGTGGGGAGCAGACGTTCCCCGGGAGGGTGTGATCACCATTCAGCCGCCCGCAGATGTGGGCAGAGCAGAGCTACTGGTTCAAAGCTTCCTAGCAGCTTCCCACGACTGCGGCCTCCCACGCGGGCAAACCAGCCACAGCCCTTCCAAGCTGCAGCCTGAGAGGGGCCCAGCGCGCGGCCGGTGTCTTTCCAGGGCTGTCCCGGGAGCCTTGAGGGGCCGTTCTGGCAGGAGCGGGTGGCCCCGCACACCCACCCAGCACCCTGAGTGCCTCCTCGGGGCTGGGACTCCCAGGCGTCCTCACCCCGAGGGCAAGGCAGGGAGGTCCCAGGGTCTTCCCGGGTGAGTCAGGGCCTTTGAGGGGGGAGAAAAGGCACCCAGGCAGGCAGGCAGCTCCACAAAGAGCAGCCTTGTCGTCCTAGCCAGTGCCTGCCCGTCTCAGGCAACCACCCGCCCAAGTTGTGTGGACTGTTCTGGTCCCAGTGGGTTTGGCAGGTTGAAGGGCTGGCTCTCAGGGATGAGCCAGAAGGGTGTGGGTGGCTCCTGGAGGGGTTGGGAGGAGGGACCCCATCCGTCTGTCCCAGCCAGACCTGCAGCGCTGCCCACGGGAGCAGACCGCCCCACGCCCCACTCACCTGCTGCAACAGCTCTGCATGGAGAACGTCACTGCTTCCGCTCAGGGTCACCCGGCCTGGGGGCAAGCCCACCCCATAGTCGGCTTGCCGGCTCACACATTAGGAAGCCACCTGTCCTGTGGGGACAGTGGGCAAGAAGCCGCAGTGCCCCCACAGCAGGCAGAGCTGTGCACTCCAGGCTGGACAGACCCACCTGTAAAATCCTAGCTGGTGTGCTGGGTGACCTGGCCTGGTTACCTAACCTCTCTGAACTTCTGTCTCCTCTTCAGTAAAATAGAAATTAGCCCCTCATTCGCCCGTGAAGTTAAGACCCGTAAAAAGCCCCTGGCATCTGGTGGGTGATGAGAAACGTCCATCTTTGTTCTGAAGTTGAAGTACTGTGGGGGTGGGGAGAGCTGGAGCGACGGGGGCCCAGGGGGCTGTCCGACGCACATGCCGGGCCGAGCCACGAGTGTCCCCTCTCCCCTCTGCAGATTGCGGTGACCTTCGCCATCGTCCTGGGTGTCATCATCTACAGAATCTCCACGGCTGCCGCCTTGGCCATGAACTCCTCCCCCTCCGTGCGGTCCAACATCCGGGTCACCGTCACAGCCACCGCGGTCATCATCAACCTGGTGGTCATCATCCTCCTGGACGAGGTCTACGGCTGCATAGCCAGGTGGCTCACCAAGATCGGTGAGTGCAGGCCCGAGTCGCCCCCGTCGTGCCGTGGGGCCTTGGGCGGGTCACTTTCCTTCTCTGAGCCCCATTGCCGAGCCAGCCGAGGGAAGCGGTCAGCCGGGACCACGGCGGTGGCTCAGCAGCGCGCATCTCGCTCCTGCTAGAGGTTCCAAAGACGGAGAAGAGCTTCGAGGAGAGGCTGATCTTCAAGGCTTTCCTGCTGAAGTTCGTGAATTCCTACACCCCCCATCTTTTACGTGGCTTTCTTCAAAGGCCGGTAGGGACTGCTTCAGTGACTGAGACTCCCCAACCTTTTCCTCTTCCTAGTCCAAGAGAAGGGTCCCCTCCCCATCTTCCTTCAGGTGGGAGGCACCTGGACCTGGGGCAGAGCAGTCAGTGGGGCTCCCCTGCCACTGAGTTTGGGTGACCAGAGCGGCAGGGCAGCGAGGACCCCAAACAGCAAGCTCCAGGTGCTCCCACAGTGGGGGGCGGGATGAAGGCTGCAGGAGAGGGTTAAGGGCAGCCGCTGGGTCCAGGCGAACCCCATGCCTGGACCCTCTGAGCTGTCCTGGGTTTATAGGCGCCTGTGTCCACCCACCAAGACTCCCCACCATTGCTCCTGCCGGGGGCTGGCAGGTCTGGTACCAGAGCCCCTCTCGAAGTGTCCTCAGCATCGTGGCCACCCTCCCACACCATGGTCCCCGAGCTGGACCACAGCATCCAGGCCCCCCTGAGTGCGTCCATGATGACAAAGCAGGCTCTCAGTGGGCCCCTCACCCCACACATCCCACAGGAGGCCCCCCACCCCGCACGTCCCACAGGAAGCCGAGAGGCGGCCCCGGGGACACCCCCGCTGCAACCTGCCCGCAGTCCCCAAGGGGGTTCCGTGACCCTGCTGTGGTGGGTGGTACCATCTGCACCCAGGATGCTTTGCCCTAGCCCCCTCCTGGGCTTCTTCCCCTCCGTCTGCCCCTCAGCCCGTTGGTTTCCTGTTGAAGTTCCATTTTCTTACCCCTCGGTGGGTTTGAGAATCACATGAATATTCAACCAACAGAAATGGTTGTCTTGTAGTCATTGAAACGGGCAAGAGAAAGGCCTGCGAGTACACCGGAGGTTCTGGCTTGGGGGTTCTCTCACCTTGGGGGTCTCCCTGAGCCCGCTCTCCCCTCTCTAACTGACCCCCAATCATTGCAGGTTCATCGGACGCCCGGGCGACTACGTGTACATTTTCCGGTCTTTCCGCATGGAAGAGGTAACGAGGTTGTGCAGTGTGTTCTGTCCTCACAACAGACCTGCCTGTTCCCGCCCCTCTGAGAACCCTGCTCTGTCCTCCAGCGGCTGGGGCGGGGCTGCGGTCATGTTTGGCTGGTCCCTATAGGATTACCTTAAAAGGAGAAAGTGTCTTCAAAGGCATGAAAACCAAAAAAAAATCCTTATTTTTTTCTTTTTGTATAAGGATTTTGAATGTTTTTCTCTTTGGTTAAGATGAATCATGAGAAAAAACAGAACTCAGCTACAATTCTTTCACTTTAGTATTGAAACACCCACCTCTCTCACACAAACACAACGCCAGTGAGCTCTGGTTTCTGCCTAACGGCTCTGGCCCCTGCAAGTCTGGTTAGTGCCCCAGCTGCCTTCTGCCACTGAGTCCTGGCCCCTAGACGTACTCCGTTGTCTCCATCAGACCAAGCTGGGCTTCAGGGCCAGTAGTCCAGGTGTCAGGGAGGCCTGTCAGCACTTCCAACTCCCAGAATAATTTAGCTTATGGGAAAAGAAAGGGGCGGGCCTTCCTGATAAAGATTTGGTGAAATAGGGCTTGGGGTGGGCATCAGGTACAGGGTGATCTGGCCGCCTTGGAATACAGTCTAGAGGTTCAACTATCTGAGTGCCAGCCCCTGAACATCCTAAGACACAGGCCTCATCCATGGTAACAGATGTCTGCAAAAGTCCCAGGAAGCCCTCTCCTGTCACGTGACACGTCCTTTATATAGATGACACCCTGTTGAGCTCTATTAAAGAAAAGTTGGGGAAATGCCTTTGTGAAATAGAATAAAGCAAAGGACATCATTTTTTGTAATGAAATGATGGCTCTCCTAAATGAATTCTTCGGTAACAGTATGTAAAACTTTGCTCAGGACCCACAGAGGGGTCAGCTGCACCCCAGGAGTTCACCCCGTGTCCCTGGAGTTTCCTTCACTCAGACGAGTTAAGCTTCTGCCTATCTGCCCGGCCTGAGGCAGTACCGGCCCTTAGGCTGTATGGAGCCTGATTCCAGCCTGTGGGGCCCAGCGTATTAGCTTCCTGGGGCGGCTATGACGAAATACCGCAGACCAGCTCATTTGAAATAATAGAAATTTATTCATGTACGGTTCTGGAGATCAGAAGTCCAAAACCAAGGTGTCAGCAGGCCTCCAACATTCTAGGGCGCCTCTCCCAGCTCT